TTTGCTATAGGTAGGACATAAAAATCACTATTTTTTGTTATACATAGGAGATAAAAATCAGTATTTTTGTAATACGTAGAACATAAAAATCTATTTTTTTGTTATACGTAGGACATAAAAATCACTATTTTTTGTTATACGTAGGATATAAAGTTCACTTTTGTTATACATAGAACATAAAAATCAGTATTTTTTGTAATACGTAGAACATAAAAATTACTATTTTTTTGTTATATGTAAGACATAAAAATCTCTATTTTTTTGTTATACGTAGGACATAAAAATCATTATTTTTTGTTATATGTAGAACATAAAAATCGGTATTTTTTGTAATACGTAGGACATAAAAATCTCTATTTTTTTGTTATACGTAGGACATAAAAATCATTATTTTTTGTTATACGTAGAACACAAAAATCACTATTTTTTGTTATACACAGGACATAGAAATGACTATTTTTTTTGTTATGCGTAGCACATTTAAAAAATCACTGTTATACGTTAGGAGCGCAACTCACTAGATAGGCCTTGGTAGGATGCACATGGGCACAGAGGGGTGACAGAAGGAGAATCAGCTCTGGACAGCTTCACAAGAGATGAACTAGCAGCTACCATTATGGGATGGAGCCTCTGAAAACAAAACACTCAACAGTTGCCCCTCCCCGTGACCTCCACCCGCGGCCCTTGCCCAATGTTAGCTGGGGAAGAGATGGCACCACAAGCACTGCAGCAGGAAATGGATGCAAGCAGATGGAAAGGGCATGCGGAGTCCTCAATCGGCAGACTTGGTGAGCGTGAGGAGTTCGGGTTCAATGCAGAGACAGACAAGGAGACTAACGAAATCCTCCATCAATTTAGGTCTGGCCTTGCTTAATTCGCCAAGCTCTGGAAGAGAGCATTTTTTGAAGAAGTACATTACTTACCCCGAAGCTGCTTTAAGTGTATTTCCCCCCTCTGGTCTAGTTTTGGGTATTTTAGACAAATCCCTCGGTTATATATCTCTGTATATATATGTATATACATCACTTTTCCTTAGTTACAATGCCTCTACGCTGCCAAATGCCTGGGTCTACACTTGGGTCTGAGCGGAATGAGGAAGGGAAGAAAAATAGGCTTTTTTTTTGCAAAGTCACTCCTGCCTTATTTAGAGAAGCAAATCTTCTGCTCAGTTTCTGCTCACGTGGTTGGTGAAGAAAGTGCCTGAAAGATCGAGAAGAATGCCCCCCGCCCTTGCCAAAAACAAAGCCCCAAGGACCATTCACAAATACAACAACAACAACTTTTATTTCAAATAATAATAATAATAATAATAATAATAATAATAATAATAAAGACAGAACTTCCTATTCTTTCCGAATGCGAGTCGTTTTATTATTTTATGTTTCCTATCTCTGACATCTTTGGGCGCAACTTTTGATATTTATTTTAGTGATTAGCCCATTCGCCGTATGTAAACACGGGTGTCACGAGAAATTACATAAGCTATTATGCAAGCATTAGTAACCTGAGTATTTATCAGACTCCATCTTACATCTTTGGGTGCAATATTTGAGTGCCACGAGGACACACGTAGTATATTTTAATGATTAGCCCATTCGCCGTACGAAAACACGACTTATTATATAAGCTATTACGTTACGTTATTATGCAAGCATTAGTAACGTGAGTATTTATCAGACTCCAAAGATGGGCATCTTCCTCAGCCTCGCATTAAGTGGGCTGGATGTATACAAATGGGCACAAGGCAACCGAGGCCAGGGAGATTTCAATAATAATAATAATAATAGTAATAATAATAATTTCAAGGGGGCAGGCGCTCCCGGCAACCCAGCACACCCCGAGATAAGCAGCCAAAGGGAAGCCAGTGCAATGGCTGGCTGGGGGCTCCTACCGCTTGTCAACCCAACCCTGAAAACAGCATTTTCCCAGCTTTCCCTGACATGCAATCCCATAGAAGTGGTCACTTATCTGTCACGGATATTTTGTCGGCTTAAGACAGCTCCAGACCTCCGCTCCTGAGTAGGGACAAGCACCTGTCTGAGGCAAACAACACAGAACAAGCCTCCTCCTCCTCCTCCTCATCTCCAATCCAGAAAGACAGCCGATCGAACATTTTTTTTTATCACTTTGCATTATTTTCTCTCCTCCTCCATTTCCATTCATATTTAGGAATAATTCACATCACAGATTTGGGTAGCAGTAGAAAGCATCTTGGCCGATTTTTGAATATTTTTTCCCCCTGGAGATTCTCTTTTTCAATTTAAAAGACCATACTGTAGAAAATGGCATTTTCCTCTCTCCTCGCTTTTTAAACACTTCTCAATTCCTCAATCAATGCAGATTTTCCAATTTTTGCCTGTTTCCTGGCTTAGGGCTTTTTTTTGCTGGGTTTTCCCCACTCCGGGACGAGCCTTGCTTTTTTTAAAACATCTGGGACTTTATTTTTTTCCATCAAACAAGGACATTTTCTGCCTTTTTTTTGGTTTTGTTTTTACTTATCATTCCCAAGGAGATGCTCCCTTCCGCTTTATGGGATGCCATACTTTTTTTCTCAGGCTCCGAGAGGCCCGGCCTTTTGGCGACGGATCTGAAAAAAGGTCTAGACAAGAGTTGTGCCCCACACACGCCCCGCCCCACACAAGACAAAAAGACATTTCCAGCTAAGTGCATTTCAAGGCAGGTTGCTCACTTTTAATGGTCTGCGTCATTGCGCGGCATACATCTGCTCGTGACCAGTTTGGCCTGGTTATTATGTCGGTTACAAGACTCGGTTACGCAAGAGAGAGGCATCAACAGATCGGTCATTCTTTGGCAATCAAAAGCAGGAGGTCTTACTTGAATTTACATTACACAAGCTACCATCAGAAGGACTCACACACCACCAGGCTCAATAAGCTCCTTCCTTCTCCCTGAAGCCCTTTTAAGGCTATTAAGCACCTGGAAAAAAGGCCAAAAGAAAACCACAGGCTACTGCATCGGAAGTACAAAGGTTTCCACCCCATCCTGACAACATTTGCTTAAGCCCCATTATCCACTGGGAACCCCAAATCCATAAAATACAAGGTTTCCACCCCATCCTGAGAACATTTGCTATTATCTGCTAGGAACCCCAAATCCGGGAAATACAAGGTTTCCACCCCATCCTGATAACATTTGCCATTATCTGCTTAGGAACCCCAAATCCAGGAAATACAATGGTTTCCACCCCATCCTAACATTTGCCATTATCTGCTAGGAACCCCAAAATCCTGTAAATACAAGGTTTCCACCCTAACCTGACAACATTTGCCATTATCTGCTTGGAAACCCAAAATACTGGAAATACAATGGTTTCCACCCCATCTTAACACTTGCCTAAGCCCCCTTATCCACTGCAAACCCCAACTCCACATGCCTTCTCCTCCCCTTTAGAGGGGAACGTGGGAGTGGCAACTCAACTCATCTTGAACCCACAGCTTTTCAGCTGGAAAGGGACTTTTCTGAAGCCTTTGCATTCTCTGTACTGAATACGGCATTGCAAATTACTTGCCCAGCCAGGCTTAGAAGTTCAGCGTTCTTACTACGTTCCCCAGGCCTAACTTTTACGGTTTTCCTGGGGAAAGAATCAAGAGAGCGGTGTTATCCTGACGCCAACGCCCACCCGGCCCCAGCATTACCCAAGGAAGAGACACCTCTACGCACGGAACCACCAACCGCAAGACATCTCATCTCGCTCCTTTTGTCACTTAGCTTGCCAGCTCTGCTGAAACTGGGAGACGGTCTCAATACAACCTCCAATTTGTGGCACCTCCTTGCTTGCCAGAATCTCGCCACAGTCCTGCTAAACACCAGGGGTCGCTACCGTACCTGCAAAGAGGCTGGAAAGAAGCTGGGGTTGACCCTCCCACCCTCCCCAACAACACTAAATAAATCACACTCTCCCCACTGTATACTTAGCACTTGAAAAGGGGGAAAAAGTCCTCTTGGGTTGGGCTTTGTTTGGGTTCCCCTCCTGCGCTTTCTTTGGCTCCATGAAAGGGCCCTTGTTCGGGTTCCCCTCCATAAAAGGGTCCAACAAGGGGATCCCTTTCCTTCTTCCTCAAAGCTGCAAGATATCCTTGTAACATTGGAGCCATCCTCAAAAAGGATTCTCTTGGCTTACAAATACTTTGTATCTTTGTTTGTAGGTATCTTCTGGAGCTAGGCATGCTCACACCTGAAGGAACAAAAACTCAACAAGATTGGGGTCCCCCCTCTCCCCTAAAAGGCAGGCTACAATATGGGGGAGTCTCACCCTTCTTTTCCTTTCCTCTTTTGTGTCCACTGGCTGCATCTCTCCTCGACTCAAAACATCAGAACCACACAAGGCCTACCATCTACCTCTCCGGGACCAGGAGGGCAAAAGCAGCACTTCTAACCTCAGCAAGACGGCTGGCTTCCTCTCTCTTTCCTCTGCTTCCCATGGTTTCTGCCTGCAAGGAAAAACACCTGCGACACCCCCAAGGAAGAAAGAAACCCCTGGACAGACAAAGAAGGTGGTTGGATGTTACCAACTGCTTCGAAACAGGTCTTCGCTCCATCTCCCTCCTTCCTCCTCAAATGGGGTCCTGGGTCCTCTTTCTACAGCCTACGCTTCTTCCTCTCGGGACATCATCTGCTGGTTTTGCCTTCCTTCTTTCCACCCAACGCTTCTCTTTCTATCTCCGCCACACGACGCCAAAAAATGCCACCTTTTCCTCACGCCACGTAGTTTACGATCAAGAGTCCTCGGGTATGGTTTTTCGGAAGCCTTCCCTACCGCCTCCCTTCTTTGCAAGAGCCTATCCAAACATAGTCCTGGGTTGGGGGGGGGGGGCAAGGCAAGTGCCCACAAAATGGCCGCTCAGCAAGCATTTCCCAAGTACGCCACACCTTCACTATCGCCTGCAAGCTTTGGGGAATTTAGCATTGTCCTTTCTCCCCTGCTTTTGGCTAGATAGCACAACAAATTACGGCTCTCTTCCCCCTTTTTCCTCTCTCTCTTTGGATCCTCTTCTACCTTTTTCTCTTCTTTCTTTCCTTCTCTCTTCTAGATGACCTCTACCTTTCTTCTTGTCTTCTTTCCTGCCTTGATCTCTTCTACTTTCCTTCCTGCCTTCTCTCTTCTAGGTTGGTTTCTACTTGCCTTTCTTCTACGTTGCCTTCTACCTTTCTCTCTTTTAGGTTGATTTTTACTTGCCTTTCTTCTACGTTGCCTTCTACCTTTCTTTCTCTTTTAGGTTTTTACTTGCCTTTCTTCTACGTTGCCTTCTACCTTTCTTTCTCTTTTAGGTTGATTTTTACTTGCCTTTCTTCTACGTTGCCTTCTACCTTTCTTTCTCTCTTTTAGGTCGATTTTTACTTGCCTTTCTTCTACGTTGCCTTCTACATCTTTCTTTCTCTTTTTTAGGTTGATTTTTACTTGCCTTTCTTCTACGTTGCCTTCTACCTTTCTTTCTCTCTTTTAGGTTGATTTTTACTTGCCTTTCTTCTACGTTGCCTTCTACCTTTCTCTCTTCTAGGTTGGTTTCTACTTGCCTTTCTTCTACGTTGCCTTCTACCTTTCTCTCTTTTAGGTTGATTTTTACTTGCCTTTCTTCTACGTTGCCTTCTACCTTTCTTTCTCTCTTTTAGGTTGATTTTTACTTGCCTTTTTTCTATGTTGCCTTCTACCTTTCTTTCTCTCTTCTAGGTAGATTTCTACTTGCCTTTCTTCTACGTTGCCTTCTACTTTTCTTTCTTCTACTTTGCCTTCTACCTTTCTTTCTCTCGTCTAGGTTGATTTCTACTTGCCTTTCTTCTATGTTGCCTTCTACCTTTCTTTCACGTCGCCTTCTACCTTCCTTTCTTTTACTTTGCCTTCTACCTTTCTTTTTCTCTTCTAGGTTGATGTCTACTTGCCTTCTACTTTTCTTTCTTTCTTCTACGTTGCCTTCTACCTTTCTTTCTTAGGTTAATTTTTACTTGCCTTTCTTCTACGTTGCCTTCTACCTTTCTTTCTTTCTTCTACGTTGCCTTCTACCTTTCTCTCTCTCTTCTAGGTAGATTTCTACTTGCCTTTCTTCTGCGTTGCCTTCTACCTTTTCTTTCTTCCTTCTACCTTTCTTTCTCTCTTCTAGGTTGATTCTACTTTCCTTTCTTCTACGTTGCCTTCTACCTTTCTTCCTCTCTCTTCTAAGCCTTGTCTTCTGTTTTTCTGCCTTCAGCAACTAACTTTTAAGCTTTTTCTAGTTGCCTTTCCTTTATCAAACTCTGCTCGAAGCAGGCTTTCTTTCTACCTTTCCTGTGTTTATATTCAAACCTATTGAATTAGTTTGCAATATGAACATTTTCTTACAGCTTCGCTTAGTAATCTTTGAAATCTTCAGTATATATATTTTTTCTCTCAATAGCCCTACAATTATCTTCATTACTTCGTCTTGTTTTTTCTAATTTTTCAGCCGTTTTAGTTTTCAGTTTTTCAGCATTTTTCTGTAGTTTTAAAATTTTCAGCATTTTTCTCTAGTTTTAGTTTTCAAATTTTCAGCCGTTTTCTCTAGTTTTAGTTTTCAAATTTTCAGCCGTTTTCTGTAGTTTTAGTTTTCAAATTTCCAGCATTTTTCTCTAGTTTTACTTTTCAAATTTTCAGCATTTTTCTCTAGTTTTAGTTTTCAAATTTTCAGCATTTTTCTCTAGTTTTAGTTTTCAATTTTTCAGCCGTTTTCTGTCATTTTAGTTTTAAAATTTCCAGTATTTTTCGGCTTTTTAAAAACTTGCCTTCTGCTGGACTTTTTAAGCCTGCCGTCGATCAACCAACTATTTTCCTCCCTGTTTTTAAGTTTAGTCTTCATTCTTCTTTCTCTTCCAATATTCTTTTCGTTTAGAAGAGCTACTTATTTAATGCTTCGTTTTAAGTTATAAACTATAATTAATATTGTAGCGTAAAATTTCCATCTTCTATTTTAGAAATATTCGCTCTTAGCGATATTAGCTATAGTTTATAAAAGACGGCTCAGTATTTTAAGTTTCCTTTTTAAGCCTATCTCTGCAGACGCCCTCTCTCACACTCCCTTCCTTCCTGCCTGGCGCTGCCTGCCTCTCTGAGCAGGGAGGGGCCGGGGCTGGCTTTTATAGTCCGGGACAGGCTCACTCCCTGGAATGCGATCCGATCCTTCCGCATGACATCACAGAAAAATAGTCCCTGGTCTCATCAGCACAATGCTGTACTTTTGTCCCTGTAAAAATAGTTCCTTAGGATCTGAATCATGCACATCATAGGCATTGCGTCGATACCATTCTGTTTCTTTGAGTCAGTGACATGTGAACCGTTCGGGAATGATAGGCAATGGAGTCGCCCTTCTCTGGATTGTTTTGAAGCCAAGGCCGGATGGCTATCTGTTGGGAGGGATCGGATTGTGCCGCCCTGCATGACAGACTGGACTGGATGGCCCTTGGGCACCCAGCAATGCCTGGGTTGTTTGAAAAAGCTGGGTTCAGTGCACTTTGGATAAGGGAGAACTACAACTCCCAGATTCCAAAAGCAATCACTCCCCAAGGCCATAGTCATAGTTGGCCATGTTGGGCCTGTGTGCCAAATTTGGTCTCGATCCATTGTCGGTTGGGTTTAGTGCTCTCTGGATATGGGTGAACTATAATTCCCACATTCCCAAAGCAGTCACCCCCAAACCCTGCCAGTATTAACAGTTGGCCACGTTGGGTCTGTGTGCCAAATTTGGTCTAAATCCATCTTCGGCTGGGTTTAGTGCTCTCTGGATATGGGTGAACTATAATTCCCAGATTCCTAAAGCAGTCACCCCCAAACCCTGCCAGTATTAACAGTTGGCCACGTTGGGTCTGTGTGTCAAGTTTGGTCTAGATCCATCGTCGGCTGGGTTTAGTGCTCTCTGGATATGGGTGAACTATAATTCCCAGATTCCTAAAGCAGTCACCCCCAAACCCTGCCAGTATTAACAGTTGGCCACGTTGGGTCTGTGTGTCAAGTTTGGTCTAGATCCATCGTCGGCTGGGTTTAGTGCTCTCTGGATATGGGTGAACTATAATTCCCACATTCCCAAAGCAGTCACCCCCAAACCCTGCCAGTATTAACAGTTGGCCACGTTGGGTCTGTGTGCCAAATTTGGTCTAAATCCATCTTCGGCTGGGTTTAGTGCTCTCTGGATATGGGTGAACTATAATTCCCAGATTCCTAAAGCAGTCACCCCCAAACTCTGCCAGTATTAACAGTTGGCCACGTTGGGTCTGTGTGCCAAATTTGGTCTAAATCCATCTTCGGCTGGGTTTAGTGCTCTCTGGATATGGGTGAACTATAATTCCCAGATTCCTAAAGCAGTCACCCCCAAACCCTGCCAGTATTAACAGTTGGCCACGTTGGGTCTGTGTGTCAAGTTTGGTCTAGATCCATCGTCGGCTGGGTTTAGTGCTCTCTGGATATGGGTGAACTATAATTCCCACATTCCCAAAGCAGTCACCCCCAAACCCTGCCAGTATTAACAGTTGGCCACGTTGGGTCTGTGTGCCAAATTTGGTCTAAATCCATCGTCGGCTGGGTTTAGTGCTCTCTGGATATGGGTGAACTATAATTCCCACATTCCCAAAGCAGTCACCCTCAAACCCTGCCAGTATTAACAGCTGGCCACGTTGGGTCTGTGTGTCAAGTTTGGTTCAGATTAATCGTTAGCTGGGTTCAGTGCTCTCTGGATGCAGATGAACTACAACTCCCAAAATCAAGGCCAATTCCCACAAACCCCTGCAGCATGTTCACTTGGTCATGGGGTTTCTCTGTGGCAAGTTTGGTCCTGGTCCGTTGTCGGTGGGGGTCACCGTTTCTTTGGATGCAAGTGAACTATAACTCCCAGAAATCAATTTCCTCCAAATCAATTTCCTCCAAACTTCTGTATATCCTGTTGGTCATGGTTGGTCTGTATGCCAAGTTTGGTCCAGGTCCGTCATTTGTAGGGGCCACAGACTGTGGGAGCCGAATCTAGTGAAGGGACTGTAAATCCCATCATCCATGGTCCATCCTCAGGATTTGTAGTTTTCTGGGAGTATTTTTTAATCATTTGCACCGGATTGTAGATTTAATGCAGTTTGACACCAGGCCGTGACATTCCTCTTTCTATTGGCCTCGCGCCATTTTATTTGGTGTGTGGACAAAATGGCCTCCAGTTTCCTCACAAAACGCCTCCTTTGTACCCCGGGATTTGTAGTTTGGTGGGAGTATTTTTTGCCTCACAGCCTCCCATTTGCAATGAATGTTAATGAAGGAGAGCTGCCATTTTGTTTGGTGTGTGGACAAAATGGCCACTGTTTTCCTCACAAAATGCCTCCTTTTGTACCCTGGGATTTGTAGTCTGGTAGGAGTATTTTTTGCTTTACAGCCTCCCGTTTGTAATGAATATTAATGGAGGAGAGACACCATTTTGTTTGCTGTGTGGACAAAATGGCCTCCACTTTCCTCACAAAATGCCTCATTTGTACCCCTGGATTAATGGAGGAGAGCCTCCATTTTGTTCGGTGTGTGGACAAAATGTCCACCATTTTCCTCACAAAATGCATCATTTGTAGTTTCGTGGGAGTATTTTTTGCCTCACAGCCTCCCGTTTGTAATGCATGTTAATGGAGGAGCGCTGCCATTTTGTTTGGTGTGTGGACAAAATGGCCACCACTTTCCTCACAAAACGCCTCCTTTTGTACCCTGGGATTTGTAGTTTTGTGGGAGTATTTTTTAATCATTTGCATCGTATTATAGAATTAATTCCGTTTGACACCAGGCCGTGACATTCCTCTTTTTACTGGCCTCACAGCCTCCTGTCTGGAATGAATGTTAATGGAGGAGAGCTGCCATTTTGTTTGGTGTGTGGACCAAACACAAAACGCCTCATTTGTACCCTGGGATTTGTAGTTTGGTGGGAGTTTTTAATCATTTGCATCGTATTGTAGAATTAATGCAGTTGGACACCACTCGGCTCCATGCTGTGGGATCTTGGGAGTTGTAGTATCACAAGGTCCTTTTAAAAAGGGCGGACTTGAGCCCTCCAGTGTTTTGGACTTCGACTCCCACCATTCCTCACAGCCTCAGGCCCTAAGCGGCTGAGGGGGAAAAGGAAAGGGCCTGAGGCTGTGAGGAATGGTGGGAGTTGAAGTCCAAAACACCTAAATGGGCCTAAGTTGGCCTTAAACCCTTCTCTATTGCAAACTACAAATCCCAGGTCTTTTATTTCCAAAGAGAAAGGGGAGAGTCAATGTTTTTGTGTCCTTTTTGGGGCAGGAATGTGTGTGTGTGTAATCACTGCTTGTGTCGCAACACTTGTTGTTTGGCTCTCAAAATGGAGGGCTTGTTTTAGCTCGACGCTTTGATTGGCTGAGGGAAAAACAAAGGGGGCGGAGGGATACCAGGCGGAGGAGGATGAGGAGAAGGTGCGCGCGCAGCTGCGGAGGGATCCCTGCGCTCGATGGGAGGGGGAGTGAGTGAGTGCGGCAGGCCGGATCTAGCCGGCTCAAACCGGTTCCAGCCAGTCCTGCCTAATGGCGGCTGGGTGCCGCAGTGCCTCGGGGCGCATGCGCGGAGCCGAGCCCGCTCCCTTCCTTCCCCCCTCCCTTCCCTCAACTCTGCCAAGTTCCAGAACTTGAGAGAAAACAAGGAAGGAAAGGAAAGAGAGAGGATTTCTCTTGGGAGGACTTAGTTGTCCCTAGTTACTGTCTAAAATCAGGACAGTAAATGAATCAGGACACTCAAAAAACATGGGAACTCCAGACAGGAAGCAATAGCCTTGCAGTTTCAAAGCCTGGCTGCTTCCTGCCTGGGGGAATCCTTTGTTGGGAGGTGTTAACTGGCCCTGATCACTGTCTAAAATCAGGACAGTAAAGAAAGAGGGGAATTCCAGACAGGGAACAATCAGGGCCATCTAACACCTCCCAACAAAGGATTTCCCCCAGGCAGGAAGCAGCCAGGCTTTGAAGCTGCAATGCTAATTAAGGTGGCCAATGGCAACATTCACACTTGCCTCCAACAGACTAGAGTTTTTTTCTCCCACCCTGGATGTTATTCCATCGATATACTGTATATAGGATTCCCCCAGGCAGGAAGCAGCCAGGCTTTGCAGCTGCAAGGCCATTCAATGCTAATCTAGCCGGCCAATGGCAACATTCACACTTAACTCCAACAGACAAGTGTTCTTTCTCCCACCTTGGACATTCCACGGATGTATATAGGATTCCCCCAGGCAGGAAGCAGCCAGGCTTTGCAGCTGCAAGGCCATTCAATGCTAATCAAGGTGGCCGATGGCAACATTCACACCTGCCTCCAACAGATAAAGAGTTCTTTCTCCCACCCTGGATGTTATTCCACAGATATACTACTGTATATTGGATTTCCACAGGAAGGAAGCAGCCAGGCTTTGCAGCTGCAAGGCCATTCAATGCTAATCAAGACGGCCAACAGCAACATTCACACTTGCCTCCAACAGAGAAGAGTTATTTCTCCCACCCTGGATGTTATTCCACAGATATACCGTATAAAGAATGCAGCCAGGCTTTGCAGCTGCAAGGCCATTCAGTGCTAATCCAGATGGCCGAAAACTTAGAAAACAGGGGAATTCCAGCCAGGGAACAATCAGGGCCATCTAACACCTCCCAACAAAGGATTTTCCCCAAGCAGGAAGCAGCCAGGCATTGAAGCTGCAAGGTCATTCAATGCTAATCAAGACGGGTTGGGAGGTGTTAACTGGCCCTAATCACTGTCTAAAATCAGGACAGTAACGAAAGAGGAAAACTCAGAAAACAAGGGAATTCCAGACAGGGAACAATCAGGGCCATCTAACACCTCCCAACAAAGGATTTCCCCCAGGCAGGAAGCAGACAGGCTTTGCAGCTGCAAGGCCTTTCAGTGCTAATAAAGACGGCCGATGGCAACATTCGCACATGCCTCCAACAGACAAGAGTTCTTTCTCCCACCCTGGATGATATTCTACAGATATACTGTATATAGGCAGGAAGCAGCCAGGCTTTGCAGCTGCAAGGCCATTCAATGCTAATCAAGATGGCCGATGGCAACATTCACACTTGCCTCCAACAGACAAGAGATCTTTCTCCCACCCTGGATGTTATTCTA